TTATGATCATGATGTTCATAATGATCATTATGGTTACCATGGCAACCATAATTTACTATGATTATTACGCTAATTATGATCATGATCATCATAATGATCATTATGGTTACCATGGCAACCATGATTTATTATGATTATTTTGCTAATTATGATCAAGATCATCATAATGATCATTATGGTTGCCATGGCAACCATCACTTATTATGATTATTACACTAATTATGATCATGATGTTCATAATGATCATTATGGTTGTCATGGCAACCATCATTTATTATGATTAATATGCTAATTATGATCATTGTCATCATAATGATCATCATGGTTGCCATTGCAACCATCATTTATTATTATTATTATTATTAACTTCATCTTTAACCAGGATACCCACGTCACCGAAGTGTTTTTCAGTGGGGTCCTGCATCTATATGTTACATTATTTCAAAAGGAAACATGCATTATTTACATGAACGCATATATACAACACAATACAATACAATACTGAACGATACCATCCTATGCTATGCCAAGTAATACAATACTGTAACAACGCAATACAATATAATACTATATGATGCAATACAATGAGGAAATTGGATTATGATGTGGAAGAAAAGTATTGAGTAGAAAATGGTATAATGTAAAGGAATGAAAAAGGAAAGTCTATAGCCAAATGCCAAATGGTATATTCGATCAACGTCTTTTCAATAGGGTCTTAAAGTTAGGTAATGAAATATTGTTTTTTAGTTCATGTTCCAGGTTATCAAAATCTATTGAAGCTTGATAAGTTGGTCGTTGTTTTCCTTTGTTCGTCCTTGCTCGTGGAATGTGTAGATCTCTGCGTCGTCTCGTGTAGTGACTATGGATATCTTCGTTCTTCGCTAAGTCGAAATCAACACTGCATGAAAAGCGCCGTATTCCAAGGTATTCACATGTGAATACGGGTGTGAATAAAACACATATTGCAAGCGTATTCCGACATGGAATATTAGTGTGAATACGGCATCGTATTCTTCAGTATTCTAAGTGTGAATACGCCGTGAATATGCCGCGTATTCTGACCAATATTCACACTTGGAATATCTCACTTCTCACTTAATCCGTGTTTCCACAAAATAAATTCATCAGCTGACATTTTTAAACTTTATTTTGAATGCTGAAAAATTGAAGTGGAATTTTATAAATAATTTGGCGCAAAAACCAAAAAGCGCGCTTTCGAGTTTAATAAACATTGAACGAGGAGATCGTGCGTTTGTGGCTGTAAGAAATCTTTTTGGCGCTTATAAATAAGGGAAGAGAGTGAAGGATGCCAAGGGCTTGGTAAAGTCTGGAAACTCTGGTCGCAGTTAAAGAGCATGCCGGCGAGTATTTGTATGCTACGATTCCCACGAAGTCTGATGAAGAAAATGCGCGAAATAGAAATGAGATTGCATGGCGCGATTTCCACAGCACCTTATGTTCGCTAATACGTGTAAAATGATAACGAATATTAACCGTATTTCAAGGATTTTTTATTGTTCAAAACCGAAAACGCATATACTGTTTGTGCGTAAGGGACCTCTTCGGTGAGTGACTAAATATCGTGCAGTTGAATTCAATAGCCGGCCTATAGACTATACCCTATGACCATGTTGGGAGTAATCTCAACATTTTATTAACAAATTACCTGGTGATAAGAGGTTAATGGGTTATGCGTTCGCAGCCTGTGCGAATGTTTAGGCATTTATTGTCCCTCAAGTCTGTCCATTAAGAAATATCAATATGAACAAACATGCATAATCTTTAGGTTGCCATGTTAATTTGCATAGCAGTCATACACATTGCAATGGTAGGTTTATCCACAGTTAATGTGTTTTATCAAGGTTGATCAAATGCAATACTAAGATTTCAGTCAATTATTTAAATTTTATACAGTCCTTAACAGATCATGTACATGTGATGGGTTACAACATTTCACATTTTATAAAATATTATTGGAACATCACAAATTGTTCAAAAATATGTAGCAAAAACACAGCCTATCATGAACTTCTACTAAGCTGTTATGATTTTCAATCTTTCATCAGCTGATTGTTAATTTATAAGCAATGTTGTTTTAGTATATATGAAACATTGCTCCTGGAGTATGTCAGAAATTATACTTAATAGTAAATTGTTGAGCAAAGCAAGTGATGTTTTTTCACTTGGTAAGATATTAAAAACTATAGGTGAGCAGATAATGAATCAGGAACTTCTTTCACTGGGTGAAAAATCCTCTTCATCTTTAGCAAAGTTAAGGCCAACTCTTTTGGGAATTTTCTCAATCTTGCAACCCCTGATGGCTAAAAACAATTAAAACCACCTTAAAGCAATTATTGAACAAAATACATAGCAAACTTTCTTAAGCTATAATAGATTATTATCCGAAAGGTTAATGATAATGGTAAAAGCTGATGTTGCATGCATGGCCATTTGTTTTTATTGTTGTGCATAGAATTTATGCAGTGTAATGAAATTATAATATTCCTAGGAGAATGTATATGTACAATGTACAATGTACACACCATTCATATAATTTGGAAGCTAATCAATTAGGGTAAAAATGGAAACAAATTCTTCCATGAACTTAAAGCTGTATATACACATAGCTACTCCTAGTATGCAAACATCGAGAAGCTGTAGTAAACTCATCTACACTTTAATGGTATATTCTTTAAGTATTGTGATTATAATTTATGTACGGAAAAGTAATTGCAAACAAATCAGTAAACAGTCTCAGTTATAAATTATGATGAGGGCAATGTTAAAAGGCTTCACTTAAAAACACAGTCTAGCATGAACTTCTAAGCTGTTAAGATTTCTGTCTTTGGGCAGCTGGTTGTTAAGATTCCTATCTTTTGGCAACCAGTTCAATAGCTATTCTGTGGTAAATATTAGTGTAAATATAATTCATATATGCTAAAAGGAAAAATATAGGCCATTATTTTGTTAAAAAATATGTATTATATATAACTAAAAAACACAGTCTGGCTTTGATTTCTAAGCTGTTAAGATTTCTGTCTTTGGGCAGCTGATTGTTAAGATTTCAATCTTTTGGCAATCAATCATTAGCTATTCTGTGACAATTATATAACAATATATATCTATAATATATAAATTTTGCCTAAAATATAAAAAACCCTCATGAAATGCACCAATGCACCTCATTTCAATGCATCTTGAAACGTCTATCTAAGGGTTATGTTATGTTAAAGTTATGATTACAGCAGCTTTCTGAATATTTGTGGTAGGTAAGAAAGTAATGTCCCTTTTCAGTATTGGCAAACTTTTAAATTTTGTTTGTATTGAGTATGGCTTTGAAATGGCAAACATTTGTACCTACTATAATTAGTGTGTGATGGAGGTAGGATTGATGAAAACCATCATACAATTTATTTATTTACAAGCAGGTACAGTTAGCTGTGTACAAATTAGCTACAATAAACACAATCGTAATCTATTTATATTATAAAAACAAAAAAAGTGATGAGCCCAGCCGTAAAAGCGTTGGCCTCGCACTATTGTTGTTGTGTTGTGTTGTTTCAGGACTATAGTATGACATAACTCTTGTTATTATTAAATAACTTACCTGATTTTAGCGCCGCCACAAGAATTATTTTGGGGCATCGCGAACATCTTTAACAATTCAAAGTTGAACAGCTTGAACTTCTGTTGAAACCACGCATTTATATATAAGCGCCCTGGTTGAAACCAATTGACATTTGTGCCATGTTATCGTTTTGTAAACAAAGGGAACTGGACAACTTTTGCGAGGAATCATTTAAAGACATTTATTTGTTATTGTTATACGACCTCCGAATTTCGCCATTTATTCGCAATTTCGCCGCAATTCCTTGGCGCAAAAATTGTCACTAACATGTCGAAGAGGAAATTTCCCAAAGGAAATTTCCTACGATTTCCCAACACTGAACTGTATATATTACGGATGCTTTTGACGATACAGAATCATCAACTTTCTACCCATGTGTTTACGTATCCAAGCAAAAATAAAAGTATTTTTTTATATATAACTTCTTTTACACAGGTAATTAAAGAAATTGATGGATATTTCTCTTTTTATACAGCTTTTTTACGACTTACGAGGCTACTCAGCGCTCATCGACTGAGGATATACGATACTCGACATCCCTGCGGCAGCAAAAAAATTAATCAAATAAAAATCATCGTGCGTTTGGTAACATTTATTGTCTTTATTGTCTGTCGCCTAAACAAATCAAGTGCAATTTCAATTTCTGACCGTGATGAGAAGAAATGCTGGATAACAGTTGACACCGGCATTGAACTGAAACAACCTTTGCCTATTCCGTGGTATATAAACGCATTTCCTGCAATATTTACACAATATAACTCGTTGATTATCCCGTATTCATGCGTACAATCACATTTTCTATGCCGAAGTGTGAATACTAGGTCTTGAAAAATATTCACAGAGTATTCGAAGGTATTCTAGGTCAGAATACGCGGTGTGTTTTATTCACAGGTATTCACATCGGAATACCCCCAATATTCCGAGGATATTCACAGTGAATATCTGTGAATACGTGTGAATATGGACCATATTCGAACTCATATTCGCACGTATTCACCTGTGAATACGCGGTTTCGTTTCGATGATTTTTTAACAATTCACTTGCTTTGATTTATCTGTACGGAGGTCATCACATATTTTAGAAATCTCTGCTGAAAAAAAATCCTGTAACCGTATTTTCACTGACAATCAGTTTTTCCGACATTGGTTACTGGCACATACGCAGACGTTTCTAGCAGTGTTGTTTTGTACTGACTTAAGGCTGCTTTCCACTTACGCGTTTTTTATACGCACGTACACGTACGGAAAATTTCAAATGCCTTAATTTTTATTATTTAACATCTAGGTCAACTAATGCACACAAAAATATGCAGAAAACTAAGTTCCTTCGATTCAGTTACTTAGTTTTTTCGAAGCTAACATGTATAAGGATTTCGACTTTGACGTGCGTGTACGTGCGTATGAAAAACGCGTAAGTGGAAAACAGCCTTTAGTTATTGCGCTTGTCTGCCTAGCTTTAGAAAAGTATCGTACAAGCCGCTGTGTTGTAGTACATGAGGTAAGGGCCGTCGCTAGATCGCTTAATTGGGGGGTTTATATTCATGTTTACATAATTATAATAGCAACGGCGCACAAAAGAAATCAGCCGGGCCCAATTAAGCTTCCAGTCAAGTCAACTCTCCTTTTATTTCTACCCCCAGGTTTTTTCAACCAAAATACACTGCAATTCGTTGTCATTTTCTCCCAGTACAGTGGGCTCATTTTTCCACCGGTCTTGGCAGTTAAAATTAAAAGCTTTTCATTTTACGCACTGCTCTCAATTTTATGTAGGTTGTCTCCTGACAATATAAGCCTACACGAGTTGGAGAAATTTAGTTAATTTGGACCAGCGTGATTCAATATTTTTACCAGTGTAGTTATATATAGTTTCCTATAGATATTTGCTACTTCCATTCCTTGATCTATACGAGACCAGGTTGCCAGTTGACATAGGAATTATCTTGCTTTTCGCAATCCTTCATGGCATCATCAATAACAACTGGTACATAGTTCTAGCAAGAAAGAAATTAAATGGGTATATCAGAGAAAGCTGGCATACATGTACTTATTATTCGCAAAGAATTTCACACCGAATTAAGCTTCGCAATGGTATTAACGTGGCGCAATGTACAGCTAATTCAAAGAAGGTTGTCAATAACAAAATCCAGATCCGTGATAAAAAGTAAAAATTTAAGAAAAATGATGGGTTTACAGGAAGTTTGTTTCGTTTTGGGCCAAATTAAATTATAACTCGATAAGGATAAAAAATACTTGTGTAAAGATGTTAATACGGCATGCCGTATACTTGTAAAGCAAATTCATTCTTGTGAGAAGCCCTTAATCAGATAACATATGTTTTGGAAGACACATGTGCTGAACTCAACACTGTGTTCAATAAAAGAAAAGAACTTTAACTCATTTGCACTACCGGATGTACCAGAAAAAAGTAGACAATTATGAAATACTTCGTAAACTATGAAGTTATCAAAACATTGCATAGAATCGTTGAAATATGGGTACGTTAGATGTAACATTACAAAAACAAACCGGAAATTTAACCTCGAAAAACGGAAGAGGGGTTTGTAAAAACCTCATTTTCAAATGCTTGTGCAAGCATGAATGACTTGTTAAAAGTGAATTTTGATTTTATGGAATGAAGGTTCAGGTTTTTGTTTACAAAATATAGCAATTTCAGAAAAATTGATGAAAAATAAGTACACCAAGCAGATGCGTAAACTTGGTTATTTTTTTTTCTCAACTTACAGCTTGCGCAACCTTTTTCATTCTCGAATGATTTAATGCGTGAATGATTGCTGAACGCTTACAATGGGGTTGGGGTAAATGGATAAGCGGATAAAACACGAATGAAGGGATAAAACACGGATGAGGGGATAAAACAGGGATGAGGGGATAAAACACGGATGGCGTGCATGGAAGAATCCTTTGAGAATACAAGATTTACAGAACTGATTAGAGGACTTTATGTCTGAGTTCAATTCGTGAGTCAAAATCCTCCATAAATCAAATTATTCATTGCCTGCATGTGAAAGGAACCTTAACATAAATAGCTTATCATAAGATTTATGGAGGATTTTGACTCACGAATTGAACTCAGAACATAAAGTCTGTAAATCTTGTATTCTCAAAAGATTCTTCCATTCATGCCATCCGTGTTTTATCCCCTCATCCGTATCCGTGTCGTAAACAGTGAACTCCAATAAGACTGGAACGCTCACTCTGTCCGAAGTTTGAAGCCAAGATGGCGGACACTGAAACCTTTCTTGTAGGTAAGATCCAGACCTCCACGCGAAAATTTTGTAGTTAAAATGGCAGCAATTATGATTTTACCTCTGAAATTTCCGCGCCAGAGGCCTGGGTCATACAAGAAAGGCTTCATGATCCGCCATCTTCGTTTCACTCATTATTGAAGGAAAGTCAGAGAGTGAGCGTTCCAGTCTTATTTGAGTTCACTCGTCGTAAATAAACGGCTGTTGCGAGTTTCCGTGACTACAGTGCTTCCACTTAAAGATAAATATATCCATACTTCTTTTCTTACATATTATTACATACTTTTTTTTTACGAACAAAAACTCGTTTATCAATCATAATTGAGCTATATCTTTTTCAATTGTTTTAAAGAAACCCGAGCAGAATGCCAAAAGTAAACTGCTCCTAAACTTTCCCCAACTAGCAAACGGCGTCTGAAACCTTTAGTACCTTTATTGCAGACAACAAAGAAAGTTATTCTCACCGAGCCATCCTCGACTTTTTTTTCTAATGCGAAAACCAAGTCTTTAAAAGCCGGTCTGGAATCTGCATTGGTTTGCCAACATGATTTCATTATTTCAAATCTGAAATGAAAACGACAATATATATATTTTTGCCTGTTAAACCACTTTTTAAGTTTTTTTTCAATCTGATTGGCTACGAAAGCTGTCCGTATGATACCGAACAGTTTCCATGAAAACCATTTTTCAAATTCTCATAGATAAAAGGAAATATAGAGACTTATATATACTACAAAAACTATTTAATTATTCATTTAGGTTATGCAATCAACTCCATAATCACATGTGCTGGCTTTATAAGCGGTAAAATACAGCATCGCAGTATTGTTCAACGTATCCGCCCTGTTTATATTTTTTCTTTAATTCGAATGTCATCGATTTAATGATGAAAAGCAGATAATCTCATGCATTCTGAATCTTATATTAGCGATAATTTTGGGATCGGTACGTGTAAATGGGTAATATAATGCCATATTATTACCATATACTGATAATGCCAGCGAACGATTAAATCACATCAACTACGAATCTTAAAACTTGTAAAAATTTCATATACAAAATGTTTCTTACACAATTTTTACGTTTCATTAAGTAAACAAATGGTACTGATGTATTGGTATTGAATGTGGAAACGAATTATGTTGTAATTGTTTTAAGCAAAAGACAAATATTTAAATTTTCAATTCAGTTTTTAAATTCTTTTTCGGGTTTTTTTCTGATTTTACACAAACACATATACGTTAAGGCAAGGACTTTTCTTATCAGGCTAGACGCTGGTGCTTTAAATTTCATGAAAGCGAAAAATAACATAGCTATGGTTATTTAATTTACAGTCGCATAACTAGCAATAACTGCAATATAATCACTGCAATATTATTACTTTTAGAAAATCAGCGGTTTGCCTCCCTGACTACGCCATGAAATGCTAGATCTAGTAATGCAGGAATTATAACATAATATCCGGAGTTTTAATCTGAAAAGCGCGGGAATGTGTAATCATCTTTAAGGTGGCTCCCTAGAGTTTTGTAAAATTCTAGACAGCAGGTTTGTTGCAGGTACCGAATTAAACACCAATATTGTGTATTAGGATATTTTTAAGATGGATAGATTTACGGGTTTTTTTGTAACGATAACGTTTCCTTAACATTGTCATGTCAATTACTAACCATCTGGCAAAACGTTCAGTGACAGTGGAGGAGTTTGTGAAATAATCGTAATTTAATGATAATTGGAGCCCATATATTGAAACGTCATTGTTGCCATGGCAACGGCCTATAATTGGCCAATCAATAGTTTCTTATTTCGAACATGGTACTAAATACGTTAAAGCTAATTTTAAACTATAGTTTACAATGTTGGTGCTTAATTCTACATCATCAACCGCTCAAAGCTCAGGTTGTAGTTTAAATACATTTAAGTAAAGTATTTCTTGGAAGAGGGAATTTGTAAAATATGGAACAAAATAACCGGCCGTAAATTAATCCTGTCGACGGGTTCTGGCCTTAAACGTCTTTAAGTACTATCTCGAGGTTAGCTCATTTTGCTTGAAATAATTTGGGATGAACAGTAAACTTACACTTTAGGTGAAGTTTCAGACGGTTTAGATAAACGGCTACCACGCTGTAAGTATAATAATAACTCTTGGGATTCCACGCCAGCATACGGCACCATTCCTAAAGATTAAAAATTTAATTACAATAGATTAGATGTTAGGTATGTGGGTGGTATATTCTTTCCTAGGCTAAAAGCAACCTCGCCCAGTGGCGGAACTATGGTTAGGGAGAATAAATTAATAAGCTTAATTTTAAATTCAAAATACCTGGGACCAGTTGTTCAAACTTCAAAGCTGGGTTAGCGCTAACCCTGGGTTAAATTTTAATCCAGTGTTTTAGTTTATGTGCTTCTGAACCACTGTTCGTTTAAAACTTTAGAATATATGACTTCTATCGGCCCAGAAAATATTTATGAAAAAAGATATTCAACTTTGTAAACAATCGACTAAAAGAATAAACGTAAAGATTTGCTTTAACCCAGGGTTAAGCTAACTTGCTTTTGAACAACCGGTCCCTGAATAACAACGCAATTGGTCATGCATTTCTAAAGAATTGCATTTATTTTAAAATTAAAATAAAACTCCACCAATCTAACCCTGAAGGCGCTGTTTTTCATTCTTAGGCAATTTTACGTGTAACTTGCAACGAAATATATATATATATATATATATATATATATATATATATATATATATATATATACACACCCATTTGCAAAAACGTTGGCCGCAGATAGATAGATAGATAGATACTCGAAGTCTAATTAGAATTGCATATGATTACATTTGCATGGGATTTCAATCATATTACACAACATATGCAATTCTAATTAGATTTCGAGTATCTATCTATCTATCTATCTGCGGCCAACGTTTTTGCAAATGGGTGTATATATATATATATATATATATATATATATATATATATATATATATATATATATATATATATATATATATATATGTATATATATATATATATATATATATATATATATATATATATACATATATATATATATATATATATATATATATATATATATATATATAATATATATATATATATATTTATATATATATATATATATATATATATATATATATATATATATATTATACTTGGTATTAGTTTTTACCGTTTTGCACACCGTATAATATTATCAAACTGGGAAACCAACATTTGAAAGTTTGAAACTTGTCAAGTGCTATGGAATATCGCTATATTCCGAGATTTGTATATATGTCCAAATTTAAAATCAAGAAAAACGTAATCGGTTTATGAGGTTACTTCTACTTTTGATCAAATTTTAGGCTTTAGTTGGCTATATCGAAGACTGCAATTTACATGGTTACTGAGCTATTCTAACGAATTCTTAAAATTTTCGCTTTACTGCATGTATCGCGAATCAAGTAGGGAATGCGTCTACAAACCTCCTGTCTCAATTTCCCACATTAAAACACCAAACGACCATCTAAAAAATGATTGCGCAGTTATACACTGCATAGAAAATGTAGCCAAATATAATCTATTAAGATAGAAGAGTGTGACAAGTACAATATTTCAGAGAAACACCGAAGCAATGAGCTGATTGAAATGGCGTTTCTAATTCGTGTAAATGCAGGATAAGTAAAAAAGGTTCTGTATTGAAACGATCTAATATAAACGGAGCAGGTCCCGACAAGTGTTAATTCAATGTAAGGTTGAAGTCTTTCAGTGATATTCATTGCATTTCATCACGTTTTGATATGGTTATTCGAGAAAACCATTCTGCTGTGGAAAATTGTTACTGTATGCCATTACAAACGTACCAATATAACCAGGGAGCAGCGTGGCAGCGTCTTCAAACAACTTATATAGCATCAAATGTGGTATAACAGTTTTTCATCAGGCACCATTTCACATGCCTCTCCTTCAACCTCATTTATTGCATCTCACCCAACTAATGTGGTTTACTGTATATCGGTGAAACTGGAAATGGGTAAGGTTTGGCGAATGCCGTAGGTCGGTCAAGGACGATAACACCTAGGCTGTTGCCAAACACTTTACCTGTGGTAATGATTGTGTCACAGACATGAATATTAGAGCCATCTGTCCTATTTCCGGTACTAACATGCGACTCATCCACAGTTTTGGCACTGTTCATCCCTCTTTTTCATTTAACATACTTCACCAACAGTAATACGACTTCAATTCCTTTGTTTACATCAAAGCTGGTTGTAATATGTTTTCGTTGCTGATCAGGCTTCCTTCATTGCGGGCTATTCTTAGCCCATCGGGCATCACCTTGGCAACGTGATGTATTCCTTTTTGTTTTGATTTTTTGTTCTCTATTGGCCCATTATTATCACGTGTTTTGCCCCCATACAAAATATGTGCTATCCTCATTTATTTTCATACTAACTCTCCTGACGAAGGCCCTCGAAGACGAAGTATTTTGTCTATTTTAGGCAGTTGTTATACCACATTTGATGCTTTGATGCCGTCTTAAATCGAACTCGACAACGCCAATATGTAAGGTAGTGGTTGCTTTCATTTCAAATTTTGTCTCGTGCCTTATATAATTCTATTTTAACAAGGCAACCATCTTTGATTGCGAAATCCTGGCGTTATGGTAATCAAAGCATAGAGATTAGAAATAAAACTAGAGGGGGCATTGGTATTGAAAACATCAGTCGAAAAAGGGAGCGCGATAATGGGGGGCAACTACGTTAGAAACAACTAAAATTTGTATTAAAAAAATTTAGGTTTTTTAGGTCGCTTTGCCGGTTTTTTAAGGAAAAACAGTGCTTTTTAGAACTGCATGGTTTTACTACCTTAGACATCCTGAGATGATATTTTGGGGAAAAAACATTTAGAAATAGAAAAAACTCGTTCAAAACGACATATTTTGGCCTCGGACATCGTGAATGAGCGAACACCCGCGGGACTTGGATTTGCCCCCCATTAACGCGCTCCCCAATTTCTCCTCGATGCCCCCTGTAGTGTTATTTAATGTCTATGTCTAATGTCTATGAATCAAAGTCAGTGGTGATGGGTGCCCATCTATGCCACAATAGGAAAAAATACTGTGTAAATTACACCTCTATCCCGTTCGCAAATTAACACGGAATGGCCTATACATTTCCAAATTACCCGATGATTTGACGAATATATTTGAAAGTCTAAAAATGCATACATACGTATCGCTCTTTGAAGTATACTTTGCGTCTTGCAACGACTCGATAGCCATCCACCTTGCCGGTAGTCTACCCTTTGGGGCGAAAGAGGTGAAATAATTATTAAAAATATTTATAAAAATATTTAATTAAAGAGCATCGTCGAGAAATTTGTTTCTGCCCATAAAGAAATGGTTGGATCTTGTTATGACAATGGGTATGATGTTATTTATTACTATCCTCTTTAGGATTTCTTTCAAGATAAGCATGCTAAAGATCTACCTCGTAGCAATCTTGGACAATTTTTTAAAAATTTATATCTAGTCGGCCACACGAACCGTTGTTACGTCTGTGTAACATAGGTGTAATAATGTTTTGTCGCGATAGTCAAAATAGAGTTGGCGTAAATAAAAAGTTTTAACATTAAGGACTTTATTGTTAAGAGGAGATTTTTTATCATGTCATGTATTTTGGCGGGAAAACGCTCAAAACCTAAAATCTTTTCGGCCTACCACTCAAAATCTATTTATTTTACCGTTATTCTTTAGATTATGTTGTGAACTAAGTTTTGAACTGTATTTGGTGAATGCAAAACACCAAACAAAGGAGTTATTACAAAATATAATGCGGCGGCTATCAACAATGTTATAATGTCAACGCCATTATAACTGAAATTAATACAAAAGAAGCTTCGATTCAAGTGTCATTTTCTTCTCGGCGTGTCCTGAGAAATCTTTTCATTTTCACAATATCGTGAGATTATGCAGTAAACCTGCTTGGTGGATGCTTTTCAGGTTTGCAAAACATTTTTATTGCTGAAAACTTTAGTGCTGTTACATGAAGATATAACTGAGGTTTTGAGCATATATTACGTGATATAGCAAAATATCTCCTCTTAATACCATGCAAAAAATGACGGAATTTTGGAAAAATCAATACTGCATGTAGACTATAATTATAAGACCAAAATTTAAGAATGGTGTTTTATCTAATAAAGCAAATTTACCGGAAATGTAAAAAAAATTCAAAACAATGCAGATAGTGTAAAATTAGTTATTGAAAGAAGAGACAGCTTATATAAAACATGTAAAAATGAAGTGACCAACCCAATAGGAAATCCAAACAATATAGAAAGTAAGGAGAGTTAATTGGCTGACTATATATATTAATATATTACGAGTAAAAAATCTATGACTACTCAAATCAGACAGATTGATACTAATTTTATCGTACCAGAGGAATCCCAACTGATTTCCGCACGTTATTCCTTGCACAAGGTTATCTTGGAAAGTATTTACTGTATGCATATGTGGAAATTTCCATTACGAAACGAACATTTTATTTACGTTAATATTTCTGCTGCCTAATTGGCGGTATTTAAGCACAACATGATGAATTATGGGCAGACGGACCTCTACAAATGCAAAAAGCCGTAAATTGTTCGTAAATCTACACAAAAATATACCGCCTGAATTATTTTTACCGTAAAATCAATTTCAGAGGCATCTGATTGCCTAGGATATATCAAACGAAACATTCAAGGCCGAGAACATTATAAATAACGTAAATAACGTTAATTTGGTAAATTGCACCTGGTTTTATCACTGTGTTAACGTTTTTCGACTATTAATTACCCACCCTTTCAACCAAATGCACAGCAAAAAATCATTTTCTTATTTCAAGAAAAAAAAAACTCATTTTAAGAAAATTTTCTTAAAATGAGTTCAAATTTTCTTGGGAGAATAATAAGAAAATTTTCTTACTTTTTTTCTTAAGAATTTTTTTCTTAAGAAAATTTTCTCAAAATAAGAAAAGTTGCACACAAATAATTTCTCAGTTTAAGAAAATTTTCTTGAAATAAGTCCAAAATTTCTTATAGAATGTTCATAATGAGAAAAATTTTCTTAAGAAATTTTTCTTAATATAAGAAATATTTCCAAGAAAATATTTTCTTATAATAAGAAAAGTTAATTCTCAAGAAACCCTAGAAACTCTGACATGATATTTTGTTATAAGTAAGAATGTAATGTAAATTTACTAAAATATTCATGAGTCATAATATAGAATACACAGCAGACATTAATACATGAGAATTATAGGTCCTACATGACTATTTAGAAATACAGAGGAATGATTATATATAATATTGCACCACGGCTTTGAAGGTTTTGTATTTGTCCAGTGTTTATTTGACATGTTTTTAAATATCAATTATTGCAGTGCAGATCAATTATTGCAAAAGGATTTTTGTGGTGCTTAAAATCAGATGAGACATCATCAGATAAATTTGAGAGTAAATAATTTAAAAATTGGTGTGAAGTAAATCCTAAGTTCACACTTAACTTAAAATAAAACTTTGTAATCATGTTAGGAATTGAGTACATCAAACAAAAAAACTGGTAAATGATAATTTAGCTACTCTGGGGAATTTTAAGCTATTCTTTAGCTATCGCTTGCAAAACCGGCATCTTTAAGAAAACTACTTTAAGACCATTATCAAATACACCCAGCCTTCAACCCATTCTACACTGCTTTTCTACCTCCCTATGATAGTTTAAATTCCAATCAATTCACCATGAAAATGCATGTAATTAATTCAAACAATATATAGATAGAGGCCTTATATATCCAATGAAATCAAATGGTGTTAAATCCAAAAATTGTCCCTAACAAAATATGTATGGGTAAATGTATCTGAAGGCAAAATAGAGAGCTTTGTGATAATTTTAATGATATAGGCAGACTCTGATGCACAATTTATACCCTTTGAAACAGTCGCAACCCTACTGTGGAGAAGCACTGTTACATTTAATAACCCCTCTGGATTTAGTATCAATCTAAAAATACAACTCAACTCTAATCCTACATTTCAAACAAAGACATTAGAAACACTGCCATATGCTGCTCCTTAGTTATATATATCACAACATTAGACTATTCTATGTTGCTTCTCTGAGGTATTCTAGGCCATAATTGCTGAGGAATTCTAAGGTATTGTTTAGCTAGCCAACTATTTGACTATATAAACAGATAATAACATGGAAAATCATAGCGCAAATCATTAAACGATGAAGAAAGACCTAAATACAATTCTTGATCTATAATAGGGCTAACAAAGGCTGACAAATAAAGGCTTATACGTTGTATATAATAACACACTCGATCAGCATGTTGGCATATGACATCATGAAACATCAACTCACCTTATGAAATACCACAAATTTGAGCCGATATAGTGTATATTTTCTCACATCCTAAACGTTCATATCTTTATCGGTAATACATAAAGTTAATAAGAAGATACAAATGCCATATCCGCCATAAAGAACCATATTTCTTTAATATGCGTTAATAGCGTTATAGCTAGGTTGTTTCGTTAAGTATTCAAATTTCCCTCGTGGTCTACGCTCGAAAGGCATAATGGGATAAATGGAATAATCATGCTCTGCGTCAGGCTGGACCATACAATTATCAGTATTAAACCTTTGAATGCTTTGAATTATCTCACGCTTCTGTAAATGAAAACAGCATTTTGCAAACATTATATTATGACTTTGTTCTATTTTAACAGTTCTTGACCGAATATGTCACGCCATGCTTGTAAAGTGCAAGTACGAAAAGCTTCATTGTTGACTAGGGCACTTTACTCATATTGATAATTAGCTAAATTGATAAAATCATCCAATGATCAGAACGAAAAACAATAAAATATGAACCATATAACTCTCTGAAATCAACAAACTTCAACAATGACGAACATTTGAAACACAAGTAATTTTGAAATTTACTCAGCTGAAATTCTTCAAATTTAATGCGAAGAGTATTTTCTTAGTTTAGGAATATATATTTCTTATAACAAGAAATTGATATCTCAATATTTTCTTAAGAAAACAATTTCTCATTTTAAGAAAAACATTTTCTTATGATAAGAAAGTGATATCTCTGATATTTTCTCGAGAAATAATTTTCTTATTTCAAGAAAATGTTTTCTCAAATTAAGAAGAAAAATATCTTAAGAAAATATTTTCTCAAAATAAGAAAATTATTTCTTGAAACAAGTAAATATTTTCTTAAAACAAGAAAATTCAATTTCTTAAGAAATTCATTTTTTGCTGTGTGGTGCTAGGGAAGACTGCTACGGGTAACTCTAGCCGCTGTCATAAGAAAATACTATCCACCTTACCGATGTCGTTTTCTGATACAACCCAGTTTCGTATATATCACGCGACAAACCAAAGTCAGACACCTTGGCAACTTTATGCTTTCCCAAGAGAACGTTTCTTGCCGCCAAGTCGCGATGGACAATCTATTAAATTTTGATTAATGTGTAAACGGCGTTTTGTATAAGCAGGAACTGGATTGAAATTATAATGGCAACAAACGGAAATTCTGTTTCACGACTCAAAATTAATTGCACACGTGATGCTGTTGAGAACAGTCCCTTTTCAAACTTTTTTTGTATCATGTTGATTCGTGCAACTGTTGTTAGAAAGAAGCAGTGCGTAGATGTGTTTCAGTTTAATTCTTATACAAAAACCCTGCTTAAAAAATCCAGAAAGACTGAGAGGTGACCATTTCTATAAGGCAAGAACATTAGAAGAATGAAAAAATCTAGAATGAGCAAATTCTCACACTATGTCGTGTTTTTAATCGTAATTGTACGTGTTAATTCGCGTTTCCAGTTCACTCCTGACAGCTTTATATAGAATATAATTTAAGAAAACGACTTTAGAAAAAAGGACACTTTTTCTCCCGCACAATTGCAAAATTGGTGTTCCCGTGCTTCTTGTCCACAACAAAATCCGCATGCAAAATAATTCCACATGTAAAATGCACTATAAACAAATGCATACAATGTGCAAAAAAATTATAAAAGACACAAATTTATACAATTTGCAAAACATTCTTTTACAAATGTTATTTTCACTGACCTTCTTGGTCTCGAGATAGGCCATTCCTTTCGAGACATCATAGGCAAATCTCAGTCGTGTCAACTGGTCTAATGAAGTCAGAAACGTTCCATTCTCAGCTACGTCTTGTCGATGACTTTTAAGAAAGTCCAACAAACTTCCGTGCTCACAATATTCCACAATCAATAATAATGGCCCTAAAATGTTTGCATTAAAATATCGTTTAAATCCATGAATCCGTAATATCAAAAAAGTCCGATAGAAAGAATCTTCTGCATTGCAATTGCTGATAAAAGATGCAGCTATATACCCATATCGAACAACTATGGTAAACTGAAAGGCGTTCGTATTTTTTCTGCATTGCTTTGAGTTGTGCACATGGGTAAATATTTTATATCTGCCTGGTAAAGTCGCGCTTGTTCGCTATATGCGTATGTTCGTGACATGGTCAAGTAAAACCAGAGGAAGCGTGTCATTGCGAATTGTCATCAAGAGCTTTGAAAATTTCATGGTATTTCACATATTACTGCCGTATATCTCATCTCATCGTTTTTCTTAAGGGATAAAATTGGCATCCGTGCCGATCGATGTTGTCCGTGTCCGGTCTTTGTATTGACAGCATGAGGAGTAATAAAATTGCCGGGTGCCGGTACCAATTTTAGCCGTGCCGTAGCTGTAGTTTAAAGGGGCTTTACTTGCGGTACAGGGTGTCTAAAAAAAACGCAACCACTTAAATATGCAAGAATATTAATATTGTTCGGGTTTGCACCATAGTTCAGCTAAAATGACTTTTAGCATTTTAAATGAAGGATTAAAAGCCATTTTCAATTCCCAGAGGCAGAGGTGCTTATCTACAGAATTGAGCTTTGGAGCTGTGGTAATGTTCTTGCATATTTATTTAAGTGGTTGAGTTTTTTTGAGACACCCTGTATAACTAAGATCTACTGGCTTTCTCGCTTGCTGCAGCAGCATACCTTCACGAAAGCGAAAATAGGGCACGCGTGGAATTGTATCACACAGCGCGGAACCTGACGGAAAAATCAAATGGTACCATCACGCAATGCGCCAGATGGCCATAGCCGCGGCAGCAATAATTTTTCACCACCGGTATGCGAACACCTATCGAAAAGCCCTGCGTATCAGGGATACTGTCCTTCGCAGAGGTTTGTAACCAAGCATTAAAACGAATAGCGGGCGGGCAGGCGGGCGCGCAGGCGGGCGGGAGATGAGCAGGCGGGCGGGAGATGAGCAGGCGGGCGGGAGATGAGTAGGCGGGTGGGAGATGAGCAGGCGGGCGGGAGATGGGCACGCAACCGTTAAATTTCTTTTCAACCCACGTCTGCCCGACTACCGTCCGCCCACCAGCTACTAATATTAATACTTCTGGCCGACGGACACCCCACCAATTATCGTTTTATTTTCCGTCGTGATTTTTACCAACCTCCTCTTGAACAAGCTCCGACTAAATTAACAATATTCGGATGATCGCCAACATTGGCCATTAATCTTAATTCCTTGAAAAGTTCTTTGCGATCAGAATCAGTTGCAATGTCTGTAAATTTACGAGAAAAGTTTTCAGCCAATTTTAACCCTCAATTATTACTAACATGAGGCACTACCTTTTCCCTCATGCTTATTATCAGTCTATGTTTGTAAATTTGTCATTGTTATTTTCTCTTTTAAACATGCAGAGCTGCCAAGAGGCGGGGGGGGTGGAAAAAGGGGCAATTTTTCCCGGGGACCAGGGTTGCTAGGAGCCCAAAAATGCTACAGGAAAAAAATTAAACCATTGTTGGAAGTATATAGCCCTCTTTCGAAAACAGATTCGTAGTTTTGGAATATTCATAGTTCAGATATTGTAACATATACATTCGATATCGTAGAAAATCTCACCCCCAAAACGAAGGAAATCTTGTGTTGTACTCTAGATTTCAAAATTTGATTGAGGAATATGCCCCCAAATCCCCAAATAGTGCTCTTTCTCCCCAAGATTTACCTTGCTTGTGCGTTTTTGCTGTGGAATTTACACCCTAACCAGAATTATTTCCGGTGGCCCTGTCTCTGCTTTCTAAATCGTGTTGTGAATAATTTCTTCATACTTTCGGTAAAAAAATTAGCTACATTTACTTATACCTTTGACACTCTTAACAGCAACTGTCATGTCACTAGACTTTTCGCTTGTCAACACCGCTTTCATGACCAGGCCAAACTCCCCCTGACCCAAAATATCTCCTATTAGTAAAGCATCACGTGATACTTCCTTCCATGAGAAATATTCTTGCTTTTCCCCAATTCCAAATTGCCCGCTCGGACAAAATAACTTTTCATTTTCGATGTAAATCTCTTGAGGCGAAACGCCCGGAATAGATCGCTCGTACGGCTAGGAAGAATAAATAATAAATGAAAACACGATGAAATGCTCGCCGTTCGCTCGCTTAGGAATTACGTTTTTAGCCTAAACAAGCTTCGCGGAACGTAGTGAAGTTAATTTCCCCACAACTCAGAATTTAGCCTTGAACCTTCTTTACTAGTTCTGTTAAAAGAGTATGTATGCATTCCATTTATCTAACTGTTCAGGTAACAACTACTTGAACCTGGTTATCTCAGATCCATGTCTTCTTTATCAATACCATAATTTCTATATTTTGCAAATACAGCGATAATATTGGATGCTTTTACCACGTTTTCAGTTATTTTGACCAATAAAAATTTGGCGCAATAAATGAATTTAGTTGGTACTTAGTGTAACTAATTATCTCTAGTTTTACAACAAGAAAGTAATCGATTACCTAAAAACAAGTGTATTTTTAGTCTTAAAACAAGGATGGAAACTTAGAAGTATATTCTTACAGGTTGCAGTTTGCGGTACACGCGGTTGTTTTATAGCTCTATGTTTGCTATAGAACAGTAGTAACCTGTGGCAAAAATTGGCATGTTTTGATACCATTTTTTCTGGGAACATTATGCTACTTTGGTATAGGCGATAAAACTTACGTTTGAAAGTGAAAGATTAGTCCCATCCCGTCTCCGTCGGAAGTAGTAAAAAGATCCAAGTAGAACTACCAAAGCGGCCACGATTATTAGAATAACGATGGCTATAATTATCACACTATCCGAACCCTTGTTATTTTCTACAACAAGAAATTAATAAAAGTGAAAAGGTGGTATTCTCAAGAATTAATAATGCTACTAATTGAGCTGTTTTAAAGGATTGTTTAGCGGTTGAGGGGTTAGGGCAAGAAATTTAGATTTCGCGCATTTTTAAAGGTCAAATTTACTAGCCAGATTGATAGAATTCTTTATAGGGCGAATTTGTTTCATTCTCTTTAGGTTCCACTCATTCCATATTTTAAAATTCACCATATTTTTGTTAAAGATGAATACAGGTGGATCCATTGTTGGATTAGCAGCTTCACAAATATACTCTCTGAAGAGGTCATTACATTCAATAGGGCCAGAGGGACAAAATATTAAATACAAAATATTACATACCTTTCATTGTCTTCACTTCAATAACGTTAGATTTTTTCTGACTAACACCGTATTTATTTTCACTGTACATTGATACATTATAAAATGTATCTGATTCCAAACCATCAATAGTGGCTCTCGTTTTTGTTCCGTGAACTTTACTGGTGTTTTGCCACGTATTACTTGACGCCTGCCAAATTTGAATATGATAATAATCGATCTCAAAGTACTTAGGATGTTCCCAACCAATAGTGACGCTATCTTGTTTCGTGTCTATGTCAGTAAGGCGAGTAGGCGGTGCTGGTGGTCCTAATAAAAAATATAACTTTTAACGAAGATCTATCCAGGTTATTTGAAAATCATGTACCTGATTAACTATTACGATCACTGTCATGAGGGCAAAATATCAATAAAGCTAGATGACACACCCAATTAAAACTACTTGAAGCCACTTAACTAACCTAGCGTAGAAAGATCTAAGAGAATTTAGTTTTCAAGACTGAAATCTGATCCATTTTTTTGTACTTTCCAATTACTTAACGCGGCTATGGGTCTCAATAGAACGTTAATTGAGAGGGACCATATTTATATATTCTGTTATGCCATGCTGATTTATTGGAAGTGAAATTGTTTTCAAAAGAAATTAGCTAGGCATAGCAGAATATATGGATATGGTCCCCTTGATAAACGCCAATGTACGAGGCGCTATACATAACTGAAGCGCAAGCTGAACTTTTGTGTGTATTCCGACAGTTTGAATTCAAGCGACACTAACCATAGACTATAAGTTTCTTGGGGCCAAGTTTTCCATTTACCAAAGCCCTGTGAACATCATCGGCTAGTTTTGTAATGTCCCTTGGCCTACCATAAGTATTATCCAGAACCCTCTCTTTCCACGTTAGATCAAATTTCACCTTACCAGTTCTGAAAGCATTCACAATTTAAGGGCAGAAATTGGTCCACAGACCTCTAATTTAATGAAGTGATTTACATGAATAATTATGACAATAGCAGATCAATATTAACTCACGACGGATCAATAGAAGTGATGTTAAATGAATGATAGAGTTTTCCCTGATAAATACACTTTCGACCTAGAAAAAAACAGGAGCAAAACATACCAGTTAAGATGTGCATGAAAATATGGGATGATTCGATTGGATTGAAAGCTAGCTTAAAAGTGCGAGCAAACTAGAAAGCCTTGTTGTCAGTGGCGTAGCCAGCCTGACAATTTGTCCCGCTATGTAATTTTCGAGCTATTATAATTATTCATGCCTTTAGAAATCTATTGTTTTCACAGTCAGTGAACACTAAAATATTAGCATAGCGGGACAAATCGACAGGCTGGCTACGCTACTGCTTGTTGTCATCCTGTTTATGTTTTTCCATAGATTGCAAAGCATTGGGTAGGAAACCTGTGGTTACGTAGTGTCTATCCCGCCTTTTAATTGGCTAAAATATCTTTAATTTAGGCTGTTCGAAAATTTGCAACAACCGTGTTAAAAAATGTCCATGTTATGACGTCACAAAATAACGTAAGTATAATGATATTCTTATTGACGTCACAATAAAATTACCGTTTTAAATTTAGAACGACCTTAACTGAGATGAATTTCAAGTTTTGCTCTCACAAGCTATGTGGAAAATGCAAAACATCCTTCAACACAAGCATGAAAAAGAATTTTTAATTTTGAGAATAAATCTGGAAATAAATCATAACACTAAAACGAGGTTACCAGGCCACCCCCGGCAGCCTTGTTGTTGTGTTATGGCTTATTTTCACACTTGTTTGTCAAAATGAAAAATTATTTTTCATGCAGATGTTGAAGAAGGATGTTTTGCATCTTTCGACATAGCTTGTGAGAGCAAAACTTGAAGATAGATATTTCAGTTAAGGTGGTTCTAAATTTAAAACTGTAATGTTGTGAAGTAATTATCGAAGAGGTCCATTTTACAACTACGCAACCTCGTTTCCAAAGGGCCTGGGATCGGCCAGCCGCTTCTGACTTCTGATTGGTTTTATCACTTTTTCTAATTTATGTGTAATTAGCGGAATATTTTGTAATTATTCCGAAATAGTACAATTCCAATATGGTTTAATGTGGGTACTTTGAACGGCCAAAACCAGGGCCTTTCCTCTTCTCTTGTCTTGCCCCAGCCTCAACTCCCTATATAAAGTCCCAAACGGCCCTGGGACCAGAACTTAGTATCAATTTACCATTAGAATTTGTACTCGTAACGATTGAAGTGCTAGTTATATAAGTAGAATCTTAATTCTATCAAGTACAGTTAATTTTTTAAGTAATAACGCGTCAATTTCATTTTATTTATTTCGTATTCTTCCTACGAATGTAGTTTATTTTCACAATTATAAGCTTACTTAAGTCGCTTTGCAAAGACAGTATCAAACCATCACTTAGGGAAATTGCTTTTTTGGCTTGAAATAGTGTGGGGTCGCTGCACGCATTGTATTTCAAGTAGAATGGTAATTATTAACGCACCTTATCACGCACTCTTTTGCCCAAATTAACGAGCTGTTCTGGCGGCAATATTGTTTCGAATGAATAGGTCTCCACTGAAATAAAGAAAAAGTTTGGTTAAATTGGAGAGTAACGACTGCAGCAGAGAAACTGCAATCAACAGCAGAGAAAAGTGAAATTTTATCAATAATCTTTATGGCAACCACTTGAGACTACTAAAAGACGGCATTTACATGCACTTCTAGAGACTTTCTTTAATCTGTAACACACATTAAGCCAGAAGATATAGAGCAGTGGGGCCAGTTGCATCAAAGCCGGATGGTGGTAAACACAGCGGATAGCGGTTCCTTACAGTACTGTCCAGAAATAACCTAGGTTACGGTTAGGTTGCGGTTCGGTTGCGGTAGACCGATAAAAACTGCAGACGACCGCAAGGAAAAAATACCTTCGCAGTGGCCGTTCGCTTCCGAACGAAATATTAGGGAGCTTTAGCAGTGACTATACGAGTACGACTACGAGTACGAGATTCGTCATTCTCGCGCGTTGTTTACTTACGCCATCAGCCAAAACTCGTAGTCGTTGGGCTTTCGAGTACGAAATTTATCAAAAAACTCGTACTCAAAAGCTCGACGACACGAGTTTTGACTGATGGCGTAAGCAAACAACGCAAAAGAATGACGAATCTCGTACTCCTAGTCGTACTCGTAGTCACTGCTAAAGCTTCCTATTATGAACAGCTGAGAACGACAACACAATAACCAAATCGAAAAACTTAAAAGACATTCCTTAAAAACTTGGAATGTCTGTCAGACCAAGTTAGACCAATGCTTAACCTGCGTCTCACCGCGGTTCGACATCGGTCTAACCCAAGTTCAACCGCGATCAGACCGAGGTTTGATCTAGGTTAACCGCGGTTTTTGTTAGGTTATTTCTGGACAGTACTGTAAATCTTAGTATTCCCAACTTGGGGATTGAGGATCTTCTTTAATAATTGCTGGTTGCAAAGCTGAAAAATTATTACTTTTCAAGCAGTTTTGAAAAACGGTGGATATGGTCATAGTGCCATAAGAAAATTATTCGCTTATTAAAATGCATTCAGGGCATCTAAAAAAGCTTACAACACAAGCTAAGACTTTGAAACAGTTGTTTGACGATTTAATTAGTCTTAAGTTAATGTATTTTTAAATGTGAAGATTGGACCAAAATCTCGCAAAAAGTATCGGATACTAGGTTTATGATAGCATCTGACATGAAAATAATTCGAGAAATGTGAAAACTGTTTCAAGGTCTCAGATGTTATTTTTTGAGAGCTTTCTGATGATGGGAATAACCATCAGAATAACCATCATCATAATACGACTGCTATTGGCGTACGAATTGGTTACCTAGCTTTTCTAACCCGTCTGGGCTCAAGGTCTAATATTAATTATACTATAGTGATTCATGTAACTTTTAAAAACAGCGAGGAATTGAAATGTGCGTTAAAAACGTCAAAAATAATATGAGAAAAATAGGTTTTATGAGAAAAATAGGTTTTATGAGAAAAATAGGTTTTATGAGAAAAATAGGTTTTATGAGAAAATTAGTAAAATGAGAAAAATGAGTAAAATTTTTTCAGGTTCAGTTCTTTTAAACAGGCGAGCACACACTTACACGATTTTGACCTTCGTATCTTTCAAGTTCAAAACTTTCAGTGTAAAGTTGCATTTCATGAAAACAACAGGATTTTATTTTATAACACAACATTGGTCAATAAAGGTGTTTATATATGATTTAATAAGTTGATAACAACTCACATTTTTCAATTTCAATAGAATAGCTTTGGCTACGATTTCCGATTGTATTTCTTGCAATACAAGTGTAATAATCCCGACCAGATGGAGCCTTCTTGAACGATCCATGAATACTTAAACTTCCATTGCTTAGAACACGGTATGTCCCCGAGAATCCCACGTTATCATCATGGTGCTTTAATGACTGAGACTTAATAGTACCGTTCATTTTGGTCAGGACATTTTTACCAATTTTCCACCATGTACTGGGTTTTGGGTATCCTTCAGCCGAACAATCAACGTTCAGTAGAACTACGGTGTTTTCAATTACCGATATCAGTGTATTATTTGATAATAATCTTGGTTCTGTTGTAAGAAATGACAAAAACATCTGTTCAAAAACAGTTATATAAAACTCCTGTAAGCAGCGTAGTCAGCCTGGGGCTTTAGTTTCGCTATATTAATAATTTCACGTTAAGTAATTCACAGTTAGCTGTAAAGAAAGCTCGTTTCTATAAAGAAATTAATATAATCATTCACGAGCCGGCACATTCGAAGCACCGTGCATGAGAGTACTAATTCCGCACGGGATCTTACCAACATAGCTGGCAGTTACGAGTATACAAATGGTTTCACTGCTTGGATAAGCACTGAGATATTCATCCTATACATTCATAAACTGAACTGTATTTCACATTATAACCTTTATTTTTGCTTATTGGAGCAAATAACCCTTTGTTATAACCCTTATTATTTGCTGCAAAAACCTTTGAAATACATGATTCAATTAACAACTGTATTGAACTCCACATAGGATTTACATGGCTGGGAAATCAAATAATAGGTTAAGTTTGGAAGTAAATAGTTGCGTAGCCAGCCTGATGATTTAGTCTTTCTTGGCAAATTTAAAATTTATATCTATCATTATTAATTTCTTTAGGTATTAATGGTCATCTTATTAACACTATAGATATTAGCAGAGCAGGATTAAATTGTCAGGCGAGTTATGCCACTAGAAAAGCATCCATGCTGAGATGACCATGAAAAATTTAAGTGAAGTAATATTTTGTATAAAATCTGCATAAATCATAACGATATACCTTTAGTAAGATAAACATGGAAAGTCGCATTTGTAATATTATCTGTGCATGTCACATTGAACTGACCAAACTTTCCTCCATGAACTGGATTCCTGATCATTAATGTTGAATTTGGTCCAAGTTGAAAATTCATAACACCATCTGTTAATTTTGTTAATGGCATTCCATTTATTTTCCAAAGAACACGCCCTTCCTGCTGTGTGCAGTTTAATGTTGAAGCTTTGCCTTCAGCAATTGTTAATATCGTCACACTCTCTGTGAAGTTTGAGGCTAAAATACAGGCAAATCATTCTGTGAATAATAATAGTAATTGCATTCCGTGAGGCGCGTGTGACTTGGAATTACAAGTTTGATCTCATGCAAAATTCCACTGAAGTGTAATCGCCTATTTATTATATTGATTTTAAAATTTTACATAACTTTACAATATTGAAAGTGATAGTCATTACACAAAGATTTAAGAATTGAATTCCAAATTTGTTTCTTTATGTCAGTGAAGCAAAAACACCGGAGACTCCTAAATTCTGCAAGAAACCTGTTCGATTATAGAAACGTTAAAAAATCTAGACACAATATTTTGATTTAGTAAACACTGCGGAAAAATCTGCGCATACATGGGTATAACTGCCTGTATTTAGCATTAAAAAGCAGTTGCAAAGGTTTCAGAGTTAATCTAGGACCTGTAAAGGTATTTGTATGCATTTCATTTAAGACAGATTATCTCAATTGTTTCAGGGTAAAGTGACCATGGTGGTCAACATGGAATATGTGCCAAAATCTGAACCCAGGACAAGCCCTGAAAATTACCACACCCAGAAATGGCATAGTCAACATAGCTCTAAATCCTGAATTATCAAAGCTACAGCCTTTCTGAATTGTTTATATGGTTCAGAATGGTAGCTTTTAAGGGTGGTCACTGGAGGGTGAAATTATTCTAAGTTTCATATTTTACAAGAATATGATGTTTATCATTCCAAGTCAACTGCTAATTAGGCATAAAATTACACAGATTCACCTGGCAGGGTCTAATTTTTCCTATTTTCTAAAAATGTTTGCCATATGATGAAAAAATGTTTATTTTAATATATTTATTATAAATTTCCTAGGAAATAACAACGTTTTGTTCCGATACGACATAATTATTTTATTTCACTTACCCCCCGCCAGAACACGATTTCAGTTGACTAAAGATTATGTAACCAATTCTCGATGGGTTTTGAACAGTGAACTCTAATAAGACTGGAACGATAACTCAACAATAAAGACTAGTCATTGGATGAAGCCGATTTGAATATAATTTGCTGATTAAGGCGGCAGCCGCGAGCAATACAAGCCTTCAAAAAAACTGGGAGGAGTAAGAATTCCGTAAAAATCGTATTTTTTGCCAGAAAAGTGCAATTTTTATTTGACCACTTCAACTTTAAACAACGAATTTCCCCTTTTTGGATAGACCTAGGTAATCGGCATCATCTTACTGTAAAAACCGGCGAGGTACCAGCTTTGTACTTGAAATATTTAAAGAATTTGAACGGGCCGAAAAAAAACTTCGCCTTCAACTCGCAAAAAAAATAGGTTTGCACCTCTTCACGTTCATAAAACTTGTTTTTTAGTAAAATCTAAGTGTCAATGCTTGTTTTAAGCTTTTATTCATGATCAGATGAGATGGATTTGTGTATAAAAACCGGCGTTGTTTTGGTGGTGTAATTTCAACTCTTGGCCTTCATGGCCGCCATCAGTGCTGGCTTCGAAAATGGCGGCCAAGTTATCGATCTAGTCTTTGTAGAGTTCACTGGTTTTGAAATAGTGCCATGTAATAATTTTCATTTTTGTGTCCCTTGACATTTCATCAATTATGTCGCCATTGCCATGTCTCGTCGCCTTTCTGGCAGTTTCTGCACGATAAATGCCACTTTTCGATCCCTAGCTGTATTTTTTTCACAGCATCATAAGTAATTGATAGTACAATAGCAGCTATCCAAATTTAAAAGCATTTATCCAACTTGGAAGTAAAAAAACCTGACTTCGTTTATCGGGAATGAAATTCAAGTGCGAAAGTTCAGTGCGAAGTCTCGCGCAAACTCCGCGACGAGTTCTCGTGGACAGCATTACGGATTACAGGGGGACAAAAATTTCAAGAATACATTTGTTCACAACCACAATCAGTCAACAGCCCGAGTAAAATTTGTCCGTTTTGCTGTTAATATTTCTCCTGCTGTTAATATTTCACATTAACGAGTCTCCACGTTTAAATTGTCTGTTCTTGCTTTCACAAAGCTTAAAAAATAAACCAGAAATGTTTCGTGAAAATATCCCCCCCCTGCAATGTTGCCCACGAGCATTTGTCCTGGAGCACAGAATACCTAACAGAAGTGGAACTCTATACTATTTTTTCGTAAGTGTGATTCGTCATGATTCGTCACTTAGCAAGTGCATTTTTTGAGGTAGTCACCCCCCTGCCAATGTCTAAAATTAACCCATATTTACTATTGTCAGGGGGGTGACAGCCTCAAAAAAATGCACTTGCTAAGTGACGAATCATGACGAATCACACTTACGAAAAAAGTACAGGAGTTCCACTTTTGTTAGGTATTCTGTGCCTGGAGTGTGCGCTAGACTGTTAAATTATTTTGAATCTTTCGCACTTTTTCACTCCCGATGAACAAAGGGAGGTTTTTTACTTCCAGGTGGGACAAATGCTTTTAAATTTTGGATAGCTGCTATTGTACTATTAATTACTTATTGATGCTGTGAAAGATAGACAGTTAGGAATCAAAAAGTGGCATTTATCGTGCATAAAAGTGGCGAAACATTACCATGGTGACATAATTGATGAAATGTCAAGGACACAAAAATGAAAAAAATATTACATAGCACTACTTCAAACCCATCGAAAATTGGTTGAATAATTCTTTAGTGAAATAGAATCGTGTTAAAGTACAATAATTGAAAGACGCTTGCGACGGACGGCGAAAAACGGGGATGAAATTTGCAAAATATGGCTGAAATCGTGTTTTGGCGGGGGGTAAGTGAAATGAAATATGTCGTATCCCGACAAAACATTGTTATTTCCTAAGAAATTTAAAATAAATATACTAAAATAATCTATTTTAGACAGTGGTTGTACCACATTTGATGCTAAGTTTTTAAAGACGCTGCCTCGCTGCTCTGTGGTTATATTTAAATATACTAAAATAAGCATGTTTTTTCATCATATGGCAAAAATTTTTAGAAAATAGGAAAAATTAGACTTTGCAAGGTGAATGGAATAGTAAACATTTATTTTCTTGTAAAATATGGGACTTAGGCTAATTTCACCCTCCAGTGACCACCCCTAAAAGCAACCATTCTGAACCATATAAACAATTCGGAAAGACTTTAGCTTTGATAATTCAGGATTTAGAGGTCATTTTCAGGACTTTCATCCCAGGTTCAGATTTTGGCACATATGTTGACTGCCATGGTCATTTTACCCTAAAACAGTTGAGATAATCTGTCCTAAATAAAATGCATACAAACTTCTGTACAGGTTCTATACTAAGTTGCAAAGGATGACTTCATTGCATGCATGTATTCAGTGAACATTGCATTCTAGATACCTCATGACTAGGAGCATTCTAGGAGCATAAAAGCGAACAGAAAGTTAAAGTACAGTACTGTCCAGAAATAACCTAACACTGCGGTTGCGATTCGGTTGCGGTTCAGCTGCGGTTATAGGTTGTGGTTCGGTCGCAGTTCGGTTGTGGTCGACAGATAGAAACCGCAGACGTCCGGAAGGGAAAAAATACGATCGCGGTTGCCGCTCGCTTCCCAACGTAATGTTATGAACAGCTGAGAACGACAACAGAATAATCATATCGAAAACATCTTAACAAATGTCTGTCAGAATGAGTTAGGCCGAGGTTAAAACTCCGTGTCACCGCGGTTCGACCTCGGTCTGACCTGGGTACAACCGCGATCAGACCGAGGTTTGACCTATAGATTCACCGCGGTTTTTTAGGTTATTTCTGGACAGTACTGTAGTTGCGTGCCACAAGAATTTGAGGCTAAAGGAGACTTTGACGAATTTATTGTGTAAAACAGTTTGTTTTTTAAAAAAAGGAACGACAGTTTCCGAGCTTTCAAGTGAGTTTGTCACCGGATATGAGAAATCTTTATGTTCTCAATATTTTTGAGTTCTTGTTTTTTTATTTGAAACCCAAGCTGCTAAAAAGTAGAAAATCGAAACGAATTCCTGGCCGTTGCCGTTGGGTACTGTAAATGCTAGAACGCTCTAACGATTGTTTGTTCTATCCGTTTTGTATATTTTGGAATTTCCTTAACTAACATTCAGTCATCAAATATTTGAAATAAATTATTTCTTCCATATTTTTCGTAATTTGACGCGTACGTTTTTCCATGCTGTTGATATAATATTTGATTCAATATATAGTGTTGGCAAAACCGTTTTTAGGAGCAACATGTTGTTTTTAAAAACAACATTTCCATAAATGAAAAAGCAGCTTCAATTTTTTGTTAGCACTAGAGAACATTAAATATGAAAAGTTGTGACTTCCTAGGCATGTTGAATGGTTAAACATAAAGTAATTACTAAAAAAATACGTCCAAAACTTGGAGCAGAAAAAGAAGTTACAGAATTTATCTATTTTATAGAGATACTAATATTTTGCAAATGATTTAGTTATATAATTAATGCTCTAACACGTGTCTTTATGCTGCTCTTCTGTATGGGTTATAGATTAAAAAGTTTTAAAGGTTATTTCTATCTAAAGGGTACAGGTAAACTACTATCAAATAAGTATAGTAACGTTATTATTACAAATTTTTTACCAGTGGCGGATCTAGGTGTATATAGTAAAAATAAATCACATAGCTAAATTTTAAATTCAAAACACGGTATAAACACCTTAACAACAACGGTTAGGGATTTCAAAGAATATTTTAAAATACAAATCTACCAATGCGATTACGATATTAAGCTGTAGTATTTTTTTTATTACTACCACAACTACCACAGCACAGTACCACTAGAGCCGTGGCTGTTTTCTACTTACAGTGGGAATACCCGACGAGTGAGAATAGGATCAAAACTTTCACTATAAAGACCGCAAGAAGTACTGCATCCATTTGGTATTAACTAAAACCTATTTGAAAAATTAAAAAAATAAAAATTACTGTGAAGGCATAAATATTTTGCATCAAAAAACAACATTTTTGTTTTGTATAAAACACCCAGTACAGTAACAACAAAGATCCATTGACATGTCAAACGAAGCTAGATGTTCTTATTATATCACAGTAAACTGCACACATATAGAGCAATTCGCATGTTATATCACTTATATGCGATGTTAAGCTATGAGTTTCTGTTTCAAGATATATTATCAATCTGTTTTTTTTATATAATCGTATCGGGATTCGGGATTATATGTGAACATAACCGCTGGAATTCCGCCATTAAGGGTACCTTCGGCTGCTTCTGTTCATGTTCTATGCTTATAGTTACTATCAAATTTGAAAGCGGGATGATACCAATATTTAGGAAATGGGCTTTTGCAACTTCCATATAACTCGTCTACGCCGACAATCTCACACAAATAAACAGGGCGTTTGTTTTAACAGAATACAATAAGTTTGTTACTTGAACGAGGATGTTCAGCCGTAAACAAGCGGTTTATGTGCGAACATGCAACGAACAGCGTATATCCAACGCATTGTTAGTTCGCTAAGCTTTAAGTTCCTTTGTTATAATTGCTCGAAAATTGATAAATTGTTCCTCACATCTCTGTTGCTGTAGCAAAGTTGCCAAAGCCCGGCACAGGCACAAGTTTTAAATTGGTTTGGCTATATAGATGTATTAATTGCCCGACAGACATATTCAATTTGATCCTCTATTCTTAGACCCCTAATTTTCTAACAATTTCAAGAAACTATTTAGAGTCGCCTTAAATGTCGTGATTTCATACTAAGCGTGGCCTGTATATGAATTATATTTTGACTGAATGAACTCGGCATGTGTAACGGTTTTTTGTTTAAATTGATGAATGATGTTTGTTTAGGTTTGAACACGCACATGCATTGTTATCTAGTAAGTCTCAGAAAAGTTGATTTAACAGATCATATTTCTACGGTATTATAATGTACAAAATACTACAAATACACAGCAACGCCAACGGCTAATAAATGTAAGTATTGGGCGGTATATATATAGTATCGTGACTATCGTCGTTAAACTGAATACATCACACAGCTCAAAATTAAAACGATTCTTTGTCTATAGTGGGAGGGCTTAAGTCTTTGTATGCATACGTTCATAGTGTGCAAGTACAAATTTACGAATTGGCATAATTAGGCAATATATGTAAACAGTCAGACGCCAAGCTTGGAACACTAGACGTTTATTTCAAGGAATGCGATAAATTTCGACGGCGAGAGTTCATTAAAATACATTGTAAGCCAAGATTATGATTACGAGACTGAATTAAATCGATAATGGTATAAAGTATATTATATTAAGCCTGAACTTATCCTATATTTACGGTATTAAACAGAAGTGAAACTCTGTGCATTTCATACAACCCTGTCGATTTTGACGATACACTTATTTAATATATTGCATCAAGAGTGTGACATTCAATTAGGCGCCTTACCTGTACGAGCCAATATATGAAGTTAAGCACGAATTTCCTCCAACAAGAGTAAATGTATAAGCAACAAACACACTGATTTGTTGTAATATTGTCGTCGATCAAATAAATGCGGAAGACGAATAGCAAGTAACATGACACCCTCGTATTAACGACAAGGAAAGAGAAAATCAACAATATCATGCAACATTAATTTTCTTTCATATGATAATTATTCGATGCATAATCGAAAGCGTGTAGAGTAACGGGGGGTAAAAGTGGGGAAAACGCAAACTTTCAATCCTTGCGTTGTTACAATTGCAATTTAAATTATTTGTAAGAATTTCCTAAATGCACTTATGGGAGTTCACTGGCGGATTTAAAGTTACTAGAATTTATTCAGTCCAGCTTTTGATATCAGTGTTTTACTACATTATTTCACAGACTTCTGACAGCAAAGAAAATTCATGTCCTTATGAGGACATTAGTGAGTTTGGGAAATACAACGGCAACGGCAACCGCAACGTCCTTATCACCAATGGCATTGATTCTTTAAGACAAAAGAAAATGTAAATTACGCGTGGCCTTTAATTGTCAACACTGCCGTAGTTGCTGAAACGGCATCGCGACTCAATACACCCATTTCACGGTGCATGACAACGCGGCAACAGTTAATGCGTTCGATGTTGTTTGGAGTCTTAGAAGCAATTTTACTGATCGACCATATTAATTTTATAATAGTTAATAACTGTTTCAGAGAAAGAGGAAACTTGATTACTTGAAGAGGCAAATGAAGTCCATACTAACTCCTATTTTCTTTGAATACCACAATATTAATTAGGTGAATATATTTTGCCGTTGCGAACTTGCGGTTGCCGTTGCCGTTGTATTTCCCAAACTCACAAATGTGTGGGTGAAAGAAAGCTCTCCAATTGGCACAGTTCCAGTCCATAAATCTGAAGATATAAAATTAAATGAAGAAACGTTGAAAAAAATATTGAATCGTGAGAATTCGAAAGAATTAGCCTTTCTCACGATGACGAATGTGCCGCCATTTTTGAGTTACATTTTTTAAATGGTGAGCTCAAGACTTGTCAGGCGGCTGTCTTTAATTTTAGGCTTAATTTATTGTTCAAATGGTCTATTGACCCTTAAACATTTCTACTATTGTTTAAATGCATTGAAATTGAAAGTACCCCCAAAATGGCGGATATTCGTCATCGTGAGAAAGGCTAATTTGATTGCCAAATCTCAGATGGTTTTGTACAGACACCATGCACGTGGGGACTGAATCTAAGTCTACCATGTATACCCCTTCTTTGATGCAAATGTATGCAGATCAACATGATCCAGCAGTTTTTATTTTTTAACATAATCTTTCAGCTCATAGAGACCAATCAAAAAGGACCTATATCGTAGAAACGAAAAATGAAAAGCGGCAGACACTGTGTCTGTGGCATTTCTACACATTCTTCACTACTTCAGGCAAGCCCTGGGTATTTCCTGATATACTTATTAGTTAACTATTCTTTTTTTAACCGTATTGAACCGTATTGAAAAAAAATCATAATTTATTATAAATCTTAAAAAACAAGCACATAATAAAAAGATGCAGGACTTTTATCCAGCAACAGCTTGACAAACTAGTCACAACGACGGGATGTAGCCTTGGGCAACAGACATGCACAGAAAAGCAGCTGAAAAAGGCATGATACTGTCCTTCAAACCAAAGTTCAAAAAGCATTACAGGTTCTTATTTATTTTACTGCTTATACTCATTTTCTTTAGCAAAATATTTTCTACACTAAACAGGGATTTAAACCAATCACCTCATGCAAGAATCGGCACTATCCAGCCACATCACCAGGCTTCGAGTTCAAGGAGCGAGGTCGTTAACATTGTTGTTAATGGAAATACCATAACTTTTGTCAAACAAGGAAACGCAATTATTCTCTTGGACAGATGGGGATTTATTTTGAATGTTTATAACTTTTACCATAGACAATCCAAAAGACATTGGATTGTCTTTTGGATTGTCTATAGACCTATTCGAAAAAGAGCAAGACGCCTGCTTCGAGTTACGCGAAAAACGAGGCTAGTCTGGTTTTCTCTGCCGAATTTAAAGTCATTTGTTTATTTCTCAATTTTTCGCTGTACCTGTTGCAACTGCACAAAAACAAAGTTTTTCCAGTCAAATTTAGAAATATAAAAATGATTTTGAAATTTGACAGCAAAAAAACTGACTAGCCTCGCTCTCGCGTAACTCGTAACAGGCCTCTTGCTCTTTTTGGAATAGGTCTATGCTTTCACTAAAACTGTGAAAATATGTAAACTGCTCAATGCAGCAGCAAAACGGGTGATGTATAACTGATGTTTATACTTCACTTCTATCACGGTATATGTCTTCTAAAAATAGAAACATCGGCTTTCCACTCATTTGAATCATTTCATATTAAAATCATAAGCTTAGCCTTAGGTCTGGCTAGCTCATGCAGGTTAAATATACAGTGCTTCGTTTGAAATGCCGAGGGGTTGTCGCATGCATGTATTTCTTGTATATTATAGTATATGAATTCTTCTAAACTTCATATCTTACCTTCAGTGAAGACTCTTGGGAATTTTGAGGGGAGGTAGAGAACAATCAGAAAAATTTCGTCTTCCAATCGACCGGCGTTGCTAAGCGCCTGCTTGAATGTAGTTGCCGTGTTCAAAAAATGTGACAACAGTTACTAATGCCTGCCCTTTAAAGTAGAAATGGGCCCGGAGATCGATTTCTGTCGTAAAACTGATCACAGGGACATTTTTTCGGCCGAAATTTGTTTCCATTTTTTCATGTTATGGTGAAATAATAATCACGCAATAATAATCACGACTATATGCGTCTATCAATATTTATGTAAAAAATCGGGGAAAATCTTTTAAAAGCTCGAATTGGAAGCTAGAGACCTATAGAAGTTTTAAACCTGTTTTTGCCTATTATTTCAAATATTCAGTTTTTATTTCTCTCCGGTAAAATTTGTCTTATGGTTGTACAATGTTTTTAAAGGTCATCCGACCGAAACAGCAATGAGTTTTGAACGTCGAAATTCGAATTCTCTTGATTGGCTGCCGTACGACGTTTCGAAATTTAAGAATCAAACATTGCAAATTACGAAATCGATTGTTTATAATTTGCTTAAATTTGTTCCCCATGCATTGTTTATCATACAAAAAGGCCTTAAACTTCGAAACTTTCTAAAAATCCATGCATGCATGGAATTGCAATTGGACGTAATTGCTGTCGTTTTTTTACTATCATTTTTCGACACACAATTTTTCCTCATCAGTTACAGTTTTGACGCTCGTTTTTAACCAATCCAAAGGATTCTTATATCCCATTTGTGCTGAATTTACATTTAAACTTAGGTTAAACTGTTTTACTGGCCTTATTTAACTGACCTGCTTTGAACAGTACAGTAGCGAAGGTTTAACGAACCCAGGGTTATAAGGATTTTAACCTAGGTTTAGCACTAACCCGGGTTATATTTAGCCTGCTTTTGATGAGCCCTAGGAGTTTAGTACGGTGACAGAATATTAAGCAACAAACGACAGATTGTATTTAATAGATTTTACTGGGTGAAAATTTAATAGCAAATGCCCGCTCTGACAGACAGCTAGAGTTATATACTAATTATATCATGCATTCATGATGATAATGAAAGAACATAATTATTGTTAATGTTAATGACGCCTACTCAAAATATCCACCATGATCTCTTACACAGCTTAAGGCTAGTTTCCACTCAGGAAAAATCTCCTTTGGATCGGAACGGACAGGAGAATTTCCTTTGTCGGTGAGTTCTCAGGCGGCGTTTATACAAAGGAAACTCTCCTGTCCTGTCCGATCCAAAGGAGGATTTTCCTGAGTGGAAACTAGCCTTTAGTCCTATACATGTGTTAACCCTGAATTTGTTCATATGTTTAGTGTAAGAACAGACTGACTGGTGGCGTCTTATTGAGACGCGTATAAAAACTATGAATACTATTGTATACAATAAATTACAAATCCTTTAAAAACTAAGCTAAATCAAAAGTTATGAACCAGTAAGCCATTAGGCCACGTTGTGCTTATTTACCAATGCATATGGCTTTGGAGAATTACGTTTAATTTTGAAAGAATTATGACATATAATTATTATGGCAAAGCGAAGCATTATACCAGCATTTTTTCATTTGATTATATAGTCGTCCACGCATACTTCATCGAAATTAAAAAAAAAAAGATAAATTTTATAGCATATTGCTCCGTTGCCACTTGATTGAAAATCAATTTGGATATCAGACAATATAATACCCGATTTGTTATCTTTATTCGCCTTAACGACGAGAGGTTAAAGCCGCGAGTCAGCCTCTTGTTTAGTTTCATATATCCGCATTACCAGAAATTTGCGACATGATAATTTGCATGTATACTAATTTGCATTTAACTTTCAGCATAATGGCCTTCAACTTTCACTATAAAATACATATAGTAAATATACAAAACCTAAAAATGCCGTTGACCTAGATCTTGCCCACTGTTTGCCGACCTCTGGATCAATAGAACAGCCGTTTCCCAACGTTTTAATGATCGAATTACTTTCCTTAGGTATTTCTACGTTCGGCCAAATGATTGTGAACAAATGTGTATTATAGCCTTCGTATTGTTCAAGTTCCAGACAAGACTGATAATATTTTTTAAAGTGATTGCAGTAAAAATCCGAGCCGTATAGAAAAGTTTATACACAAATACGAAAGAGAATATCTTAAACAATTTTTTTGGGTACATTATACGTCAATTCATCAACTACCTGAATCGAAATATTCGAATCAATGTGAGCGATTTTATAAGTTCGTGGACAGGACACGGACAAAACTTTGAGCAATATATTTTTAAATTTGGCCGAATGCAGAAATGCCCAAGCTAAAAAATCCTGTCACCAAAACGTTTCTAAACAGCTGCTCTACCGATCTAGAGGTCGGCAAACAGTGGGCAAGGTCTAGGGCAAGGGCATTTTTAAGTTTTGTCTATTTACTATATGTATTTTATAGTAAAAGTTGAAGGCCATTATACTGAAAGTTAAATGCAAATTAGTATACATGCAAATTATCATGTCGCAAATTTCTGGTAATG